CCCCAAAACCCCAAAACCCCAAAACCCCTAAGTCTATCTTCACTATAGAATTTTACGCTAAGCTATAAAATATGTGTTGTTTCGAGATTTGCATCGATGCTTACAGACACTCAACTTTCAACATCAAAGGGCAAAATATTTTGCCAGTGATTGTCTAGTTTTATTTAAGACATTATGGTGACTATAATAACCTAATTAGTCCATTACAAAAGCTTGGATCTATAAGCTAGCTTTCTTCATTGGTAGCTTAATCATAGTTTTAATGGTGTCCATAAACCTAAATTTACTTATAGTCTACAAATTTTCAGACTATTAAGAGTCATGGAGTCCAAATGTGATTGTCACATTCAGAATAGCTCTTAATATTAAATGGAGGGACGCCTCTTTCATAGCCCTAGTTTACTGATGACTCAGTCGTCAGAATTAATAAACCAGCAAATGTGTGGCCTTTCAAGTTCCAACATTTATTATTTATGAGATGAAGGATGTCCATTTGGTGTTGTCCTTAAATTTAGATCTCAAATTATGATAAAAGTGTTTCGAATAGATCAATTCGAAGCCTAATTATTATCTCTTTGCTTCAACCTGGACTACTAAATGAAATAGTTTGAAATCAAATCTTCGGTTCTGAAATTCTTCAACTTGTTCAGATTCTTATGAAAAATTTTAGCTAACAAACTGTTAGCCCAGAGGAAATGAAGATTTGAGATACACTAAACCTGTTATCCAGCCTAAGCGAGTAATGGTGGGCTATAAAATAATTTTCAGGCCTCCAGTATCTTAAATTTACTTTTTACAATTTTGAGTAACTTGAATAAATTTGATAAGACTTGTAGTTTATCATCCCAAATATCTAATCAAACGAACCCAGAGCACTTAAAATTTGAGTATCTCACTAAAGAGAGCCGATGAAACTCAGCTAATTTTCTTGAGAGCTTATAGACACCAAATGCAAGTAGAAGATTAAGACAATTGCTAGATTTCTCAAGCTTTTATGATAAATTTGAATTAAATGTGAACTTTTTGGGAGCAAATGCACTCAGCTTCTTCCTTCAAAGTCCCGAATTCTTGATCTTATGAGACTCGAGCTCTTCACCACTATCTTGTGAGGAGTGCACTTCTTTTGGGCTTGGTAGAGTGCCCCCTTCGCTGTGATGTTCTAAATTTATGTTAGCTATGCTTCTTTAAAAAATTTTGAATCAAGATCAAAGACATTAAGTTAATAACTTGAGTTTTAAATGAATACAAGGCTACCTTTGTCCATGAGCAGTTCTCTATCTGAAAGGAACTTCCTGAGTACCCTTGGAGAGTCTAGCCATCTAGGGCTTTTTCCCACAGCATCCTGGGCCTTCTTAATAATGGCTATATATCTTTCTTGTTCCTGTTCGAATTCTTCATCAGCTGGAGTTCAGAGTATTTTGAGATTATGCTTCGGAAGTGGACTCTTGGCACTAATCCTTGAAATCTTCTTGCTTCTCTGAGTGTTTCGATGGAAGTTCCTCTTAGTGCTTCTTTTCTTTGGACTCAAAGACCGAACTTTGCAACTAAAATAAATGTTTGGCCAAATCCAGGGATGAAATTTTGTCACAAAATTTAGCTATTTCAGCAAACCTTACACCGAATTTTGATTCCTACTAATCCAGGATATTTTCTTGCTTTTGGAGTTGAAGCTCTGGTTCCTAGGATTCTGGCTCAATAACTTTTTCCTGATCACTCTCAAGAGCTTGTGTGGAGCTCGCAGCTTTCTCTAGAAACATTTTGTTAGAAAATGGTTGAAGGAATTCATCTAGGCAAATGTGAAGATCTCAAAAATTTTATGTAAGGATCTTTAGAAGGTATTCACCAACCAATTTTTGGCGTACTGACTCAGATGAAATTTTCATCATAGATAAAGTCGCAGTGAGTTTTACAATAAATTATATATAGCCTCCCAATAGACCCAATAGAAAAGTGCTTACCTTTAAAGCTGGCATCTTCATCTGAATTGTAGTCTTCTATATCCTTATATAAACAATGCGTTTGAAGGACCTCTTCAGGAAGAAGTTAAGATGGTAAAGCCAGAGTCTTAAATAAGGGATTGTAACTTGTAAACAGACACAAATAGTCAGTTGTGCCACTTACGTTAAGAGGCATGAGCCTATTACGACGGTCATATTTGACTTTTAACTCCTCCATTCTTTATAAATTATTAATGTTTTATTACCTACCAGTCTTAAATCTAGCATCTGGGGTTTTGGGGTTTTGGGGTTTTGGGGTTTTGGGGTTTTGGGG